CGGCAGAGATTTCCAGCAAGAGCCCGGTGGCTGTGCAGAGCACTAAAGTCAACCTGCTCTACTCCCGGGACCACTCCGTAGCTGAGAGCCTCAACTACATGGTAAGGCGACCCTCTGTCCAGTCACAGCCCCCCTCTCGTCCCAGGGAGACCAATCCAGGCTCAGCCTTGTCCTCTGATTGGTCACGCAGGCGTCCTGGAACATGAGCATGCTGCAGACCCAGGACATTGTGAAGTCTGTCCAGGCAGCGATGGAGAAGAAGGAACTGAAAAGCATTAACTTCTCCAAGCTCTGAGAGTCCGCTAGTTCAGGGCTTTGGCTCTGGGTCCGGCCAAGTCCCGCCTTACCCCTGCGTTTGGTCATCTGACGGAGGGGGATTGGCGAAGTTGTTGTCTCAGTGCCTTCTCTCCTAGTCTCGCAGTTTGTAACCTCACGACCTCGATTTCATGCACAGTATTTGGGTTTTGAGCACACTTACAACTTAGATTCAGATTCAAACTGTACAAAAGCAATTCATATAACTATGTGTAAAATATGTGTACCACCAGAATATTCTGAAATTAAAAAAAAAAATACATATAATTTTTTTCTGTGTCAAAATATACCCAAGGAACCCATTCAAATGTTATTTTCAAACTTCTAAACAGTATTAAGTGCCATTAAATGTAATAATAAGTGTCAATTTCATTTTTTGTAAAAAAAAAAAAGAGAGAGAGAGAGAGACTGATTTCCACAAGCCCAGGGCCTTATCTTCACCCTATGAACAATAAAGCAATGTAAAGAAGAGAGAACCTGGTGTCCTTATTATGGGGGGTGGGGTTGAGACGTGCCTAGGGTCTCCAAGGACAGCAACTGTGGAGAGATTTGGTCCATGGGTGGCACATGGGTGATGACCATTCAGACTGGCCTGGGCTAATGAGAGCCAATGGAAAGTCAGGGAAGGATGGAGACAGCCAAGGTGGCTGCCCTTCCTCTGGCTGAATGACTACCTGTGGTTTTATTTCAAACCGGTCTGCTCCTAGGTTAGGGTGGGGTCATCCTGCCTGCTGTCTCTCACTGCACAGAGTGGTGGCATCTAGGTGGGGTTTGCTTGCTACCCAATCTGAAGCCAACTTCCTTATTTCTTTAAGCTTTGGGTTTTTTATCCATATATAATCCCAATCCCCTGATTTTGCCTTTGGAATGAGTACAAGAAACCAGGCATTAATTTAGTGCTTTCTACACGCCAAGTTCTGTTCTGAGCATTTATTACCTTAGTGATCCCTTTCTTTTTCTTTCCCCACCTTTGTTGTTTTTTTTTTTTTTTTTGAGACATAGTCTTACTCTATCACACTGGGTAGAGTGCTGTGGCATCATAGCTCACACCAACCTCAAACTCCTCTGCTTGAGCAATCCCCTTGTCTCAGCCTCCCAAGTAGCTGGGACTATAGCCATGTGCCCCTACACTTGACTAGTTTTTCTCTTTTTTTAGATGGAGCCTCAAGCTATCCCCCTGGGTAGAGTGCCATGGCATCACAGCTCACAGCAACCTCCAACTCCTGGGCTCAAGCTAGTCTCCTGCCTCAGCCTCCCAAGTAGCTGGGACTACAGGTGCCCGCCACAACGCCCGGCCATTTTCTGGTTGCAGCCATCGTTGTTTGGCGGGCCCGGGCTGGGGATTCAAACCCGCCACCTTAGGTGTATGTGGCTGGTGCCTTAGCCGCTTGAGCCACAGGCACTGAGCCTGACTAGTTTTTCTATTTTGAGTAGAGACAGGGTCTCACTCTTGCTTAGGCTGGTCTCAAACTCCTGAGTTCAGCAGATCCATCTGCTTCAACCTCCCAGAGTGCTAAGATTACAAGTGTGAGCCACCACACCCAGCCAGTGATCCCTTTCAAGGGCCCCATGAAATTGATACTATTATTATCCCCATTTTATACATGGGTAATTTTCAACATATATGGCAAGTGGGCAAATTGAGGGTAAAGCACTGATACAAGATCACAAAATAAGAAAGTGGCATAGGCAGGATTTGAATCCAGAACCTCTGGCAATGGACACCAGTGCTGTCAAACATTTTATGAAAAATAGAATGTACGAAGTAAACACATGCAGTGAGCATGCAATAACTAACAACTTTGGGTCCTTTCACAGTGCTGAGAGGTCAAGAACTTTTTTTTTTTTGACACAGAGTCTCAAGTAGAGTGCCATGGCATCATAACTCACAGCAACCTCCAACTCTTGGGCTTAAGAGATCCTCTTGCCTCAGTTTTCTATTTTTAGTAGAGACAGGGTATCGCTTTTGCTCAGGCCATTCTTGAACTCATAAACTCAAGGTATCCACCCACCTTGGCCTTCCAGAATGCTAGGATTATAGGTGTGAGCGAGCAACTGTGCTCGGCCAAGAACTTTCTTTTTTTTTGAGACAGACTTTGTCACTCTCAGTAGAGTGCCATGGCATCATGGCTCACAGAAACCTCAAACTCCTGGGCTCAATTGATCCTCTTGCTTCAGCCTCCTGAGTAGCTGGGACTACAGATGCCTACCACCAAAATGGCTATTTTTAGCTCACTCTTGCTCAGGCTGATCTCGAACTGCTAAGTTCAAGCTAGGATTACAGGAGTGAGCCACCTGGCCTAGTGGAGAGGTCAAGAACTTGAAGTTCCTCCCCACTTCCACTGCCCACCTGTCCTGGGCCACTCCTGTGGCTTGCCCCAGCCCTGCCCTGCCCTGCCTACCCTCTCTGGTCTCACCCTCCCTCTGCCAACAAAAGTCAGGCAGGGTTTTATGGACTCTGATAAGACCCTGGCAAGGCCAAAGTTCACTAGCATTTCCTTTTTGGAGGAGGGCGTGGGGAGGGGACCCAGATGAATTTTTCACCAGTGAGGTTGGTACAGGAAGGGAGGCGAGAAATCAAGAGCCAGGGAGCCACAGAAGAGGGACCTGAGGACTCGCCCCTGCCAGCCACTCCCATACCCTCCAGTATAAGAGTCACCTACCACCTGCCATCTACCACCATTTCCCTCTCCTACAGCTCTTCTCACAGGACGCATCACCAGCTCAGCCTCTCAAGATGGCTTATGTCCCTGCACCAGGCTATCAGCCCACCTACAACCCGGTGAGATGCTGGCTGAAGCCCCCAGCCTCGGGTTCTGGCTTAGCTCCACCTGATCCCACACCCCAGTCTTCCTCTCCTGGGATCCTCAGACTGCGCCTGACCTTTGGGGCCAACTCTGATTTACTTCCAACCTGATGCTCAGGCTATTTTCACCCACACCTACCTCTGGGCCCTCTTCACCTTCACCCTAATCCCGACTCTTACTCCCCTCTCACCTGCTTGAGGGACAGGGGTTGGGGTGGGGTAGTTGGTGAGGGGTCAAAGCTGCAACAGGCAAATGACCTCAGGCCCCTCACAACACCCCTTCTACAGACGCTGCCCTACCACAGGCCCATCCCCGGTGGGCTCAGCGTGGGAATGTCCGTGTACATCCAAGGAGTGGCCAGTGAGCACATGAAGAGGTAAGACTTCTCAGGCTGGCCGCTGGGCCTCTGCCCTCCACTCTGGCTGGTGGAGGCGCCTCTTTGCCACCTCACCTGATGGCCAAAGACCAGCCCTGGCCAGATGAGGAGAGGGACTTGGGGGCTAGGAGGAGTGGGGGAGGGCTCACTGGGATAGGTGGCCCCAGAGTTGGGACACTGGACTGCAACTAATGGGGTTGATAGCTTGAAATTGGAATCCAAACGCCAGCTCTGCCCCTCACCAGCTGAGTAGGGGGAAAGCCAGTGAACCCATCTGTGCCCAGCTTCTTGTCTGTAAAAACACTGAGAACTGGAAAGTACATACTATAATGAGTCTTGAAGTCTTGCTTTTCTAGGGCCATGATGATTATAACTGAACTGATCTCAAAGAATTGTTGTTTCTGGCTCGGCACCTATAGCTCAACCGGCTAAGGTGCCAGCCACGTACACCTAAGGTGGTGGGTTCGAATCCCCAGCCCGGACCCGCCAAACAACAATGACAGCTGCAACCAAAAAATAGCCAGGTGTTGTGGCCGGTGCCTGTGGTCCCAGCTACTTGGGAGGCTGAGGCAGGAGACTCGCTTGAGCCCAGGAGTTGGAGGTTGCTGTGAGCGTGATGCC